TATATCCGAATCATTTCACCAACAAGAATTTCTACTGCCAACGCTAATATATTAATTTACACCATCTCTGGTACATGCTGGATTTAGGAAGCACATTATTAATTGCTTCAATTAAAACATTCGTGCTATCAAAAATTCTACGGATAAAACCTGTCTCTTATACACATCTAGATGTGTATAAGAGACAGTATATATACATACCGGTAAGTATGTATGTATATAGGGCGTGGGTGCGTTATTTTATATATAATAAAATAATAAAACAAACATCATTAAATTAATTAAAGGATATAGTTAAATCCATGTGACCTCAATTATCATTACGGTGAAGGTGGCTAGCTGACCAATCTGCCAAGAAGCCTAGCCTAACCTGTTACTTAATACACTACAATAATATAACGCTTTTAAAATTTCATAATTGAACAATTAATACCGGTACCATATACACAGGGACGGTTTTGGCCTGCGTGAGGTGGTGGGAGGGGCGTGGGTGCGTAAATTGTGAATATGGAATTCCTATTTCAATAAAAACTTATTGGTCATTTTTATATTATATCCCACTTCCATCTATATAGTGGAAATAATTTGCCGCCATGGATTGGGGGAGGGGGGATGCGTGTACATCGGTACTCCCCGCACCCAAAAGCATACGGTCATGATATAGAAAGACACTATAAGTAGTAAGAAGCACAGCCAGGAAGCACTAAATATTATAAACGGTTTAAAAAGTTAGGCTTTATATACAGACTTTGGAAAGTACCGTTTTCGATTATAGTCGACGAATGCTAAAGTCGGCGAATGATGTAGTCGGCGAATTCTAAAGTCGCAGAATGATGCAGTCGTCAAATGCTAGAGTCGCCGGATGATAAAGTCGCAGCCAAATGCTTTTTGCGAGAAACGAAAAGCCGCCACCGAATGATAAAGTTGCAGCTAAATGCTATTTGATTTGAACGAAAAGTCGCCTCAGAAGGCACTGTGGGCGTTCCATACTCACACAGTAGATGTGAGATTTCCACCACGTGCTGCTTCGTTCAGATCGGAGAGTGTTGTTCTTCGTTTAGAGTTAGAGTTGTGGTTTTTGTTGTTCATCAGAAAATGTTGCCACATTGTATTTTATTACTTCGGTAATGCGCCTTAATATGTATTTCGAAACAATGTTAATTATCAGAGCACCTATGAATTAGGCTAGGCCTAGTGGTACTGACTGTAGAGAGAGTTAAGCGGACTTCCTAGGTAGGCCTAGGCTCTAGTATAGTAGGCTTGCTAGGTAGGAGGCTAACCATGCCCTCATTACTATTACTTAGTAAAAAAGGCTTGGCTAGGAGGGCCTACCTACCTACCTAGGCCTATACCTCTAGCTAGGCCCCTAGGCCCTATTTTATTCTTTCTGTGCTAATTCCTTTGCTTGTTAGGCCTGCATGGACTCTTACTTTAGTCTTAAAATTTGGCCTACTACTACATACAGGCTAGGCCTAGGCCTATGATATGATTTATTTTACTACTACTATACTTAGGCCCATTAAGCGGCCTAGCTTATATGGCCGCCTTATTTATAAAATGAAATAGGGGGAATATCCTATTACTTACTAACTATATCCTATTCTTTTTTTTTCGTTTTTAGGCTAGGCATAGGCTAGGAGGATAAAACTAGCTGAGCACCTAGGCTAGGCCTGGCCTTGGTGTGGACAAGGAAAGTAGGCCTAGCTTAGACCTATCATATAGAGCTAGGCCCCATACTCTTAAGGTTTTTAATTGCACGGATGATATCTCACAAACCAGCTCAAATTTGTGTGGAAAATCGCTAGGAAAATTAGTGCATAGATTCTTAAATCACCGTGGCTAGAGATACGGCACCGTATTTCTACTTCAATTTGCTAAAAGTACAGTAAATGGCATTACGTCACCATCACCCATTGAAGTGCCAGAATGTGCGTGACGTCATTTTTCAAGACTGGCATTGCATTGCAGATCACCTGCGATGAGCGGTGAAACGAGAACGATGTACAGTTCTGGGAAACTAGAACATCAAAAAGTACAATATTGTTTGACTTGGTACTATCGATAAATAGGCTTATGGTTCCATTTAGTAAAGAGTTTCATTTAGCTAGGCCTATGTATAACTATTATCAAACAAGGACTGATTCCACCAAACTCTTGGCATGCCTCTATCTAGGCATTGCTTAAATTCTTCGCTTGGCGAAAAACCTTAGCAAGCCTGCTCGGCCTTGCTTGGATTCTGCTTTTCACGGCAGCTGCTCTGGTGACATTGATCTAAGTGGCATAGGCCTATATCAGTCATAAACTTAGCCTAACTGTTCCTCCGTCATCATACCATCTGAACTTCATAATCCCTACATCCCAAGTTTTAGTCCAAGAAGTTCGAAATAATACCACGCTTTACAATCCCACCAAAATATTCATACAATTTGAATGCACAAAACTTTTCGTAGGGCTAGACTTCGTCACTGTTATGGTACAGAATCTAGGCCTAGATCGAGAGAATAAGTTTCCCCTTTGTGATTATTACAATTGAGTCAAATTTTTCCAATAATTTTGATGCAGACCTTAATACTGTCATACAAAAATAGGCGTACCACTCAATAATAAAGTCATGTCATTTTATAGCCTTATCAAGCAAGGCATCATCCTCAGAACTTAGGCCAAGCACATGTATACACACACTGCTGCTAGTCTTTAATCTATTTATATGACAACACTTGCAATAAAAAAAATGAATATACTGTAAACAAGAGAATTCATACAGGCCTACTTTTACTATAGTGGAACCATACACCTATTTAAGGATGACAGTAAAGTCAAACAATATTGTACTTTTGATGTTCTAATTTCTCAGTACTGTACAATGATCGTTCTCCTTCCACCGCTCATTGCGGGTGATATGCAATGCCAGTCTTCAAAAAATGATGTTACGCACATTCTGGCATTTCATTGGGTGATGGTGATGTAATGCCATTTACCGTACCTTTAGCAAAACGAAGTAGAAATACAGTACCGTATCTCTAGCCACGGCGTTCTTAAATACTGCATAAATACATAGTAGTTTATAGGGATATTAAGAGATGAAAGCCTAATTTTTGGAAAAATCTGTGCAGAAATCTGCCCTTACAATGGACAAACGGATTTCTAGGCCAAATTTTTTTTCGCAGAGGATATACCACCATACAGTCGGATCTAGGCATAGCCTAGAAGTATTTGATTGGAATAGCAAAAGTTGAGCAACCCTAGCTTAAGGTGGGCGGGGGTAGGGGCCTAGTCCTTCTGACATGTCAGGAACCAGTCGAGTTGTCTTCTTTACAACATGGCCACGCTTTAATATATTTTTTTGCATGGAGGATATTAAAATTTGTGGGGAAAATCACCAGGAAAATATGTGCGCAGAATCATAATTACTGCTTATTTATACATTACATTCATTGTATTTTGAGAGATAAACTATATTTTGCTAATTTTTTTTTGCCAAAAATTGCATGGAAATCGGCCATTATTTTCCGAAATACACTGTCGAAATGCCCTCATGCTTTATTTTATAGTCTGGCAACTCACCCCTTGGAGTCATGACTATTCAGGATATGCCTATTTGCCTGTGATACTTCATGCTTTTTGCTGTTCTTTCATCAGGCCTAGGCGATAAGTTAGACCCTCTGAAAACTGTGATGGAGACCACTCCAACACCCAAGACCCATCGTGAGCGGCAGGCTGGCCCAAAAGCGAAAAAAAAGAAGAAAAAAGAAAAGAAACAAGATGAAAACGTCACAGATGGCCAACGTAACCCTAGGGCTTACGCCTTCCACTCGGCTGCTAACATGGCCAAATCATTCCGAAGGTAACTTTTTAAATTTACTTTATTCAATATCTATACATTTTTACCTCTAAAATGCTTAATTCATTACATATGTGTGGTATCATTACAGTGTAAGTAGGAAAGTTCTTTCTTGCTAAAAACAGGTAATGACAAAAGTAAAAACAGTGTTTAAGTATTGCTATTAAAAGCATAATTTTTCACACTAAGGTTAGAAGAAGTTTCATTTTTTAAAACAACGTATAATAATTAAAACAGGAACATGGACCTGCAGTCGAAGCGTCACCACATACCGTTGGTCGACAGGACACCCCTTGAACCCCCTCCTGTTGTCGTGGCAGTAGTCGGTCCCCCAAAAGTAGGCAAGTCCACGTTAATCAGATGTTTGATCCGCAACTATACAAGACAAAATCTGGTCACAGTTCAAGGACCTGTCACAATTGTGTCTGGTAATATTTTATTTTTATTTATCTTATTTTACTAGAACTAATTGATATAATATAAACGAGCACTCAGTAGAGAACATATCACTGCAAAACCCTGTCTATAAAATATATCACCCAAAATATGTTCCTAATTTCCAACCACCACCCCGACTTACTTCGCTTCGTTAATCTTAAAAACACCATTTTCCGCCCCAATATCCACACCCTACTTTGGATTGTCGCCATAATTTAAACATTTCTTCATTGAAACATGACAAACTATTCTGGAAAGTCCAATGAAAAGCAGTTTAAATGACCCTCGAATTCACACCCAAATTTGGGTCATCATCAAACTTTAAGAATTTCTTCCATTACCAACCAAATGCAATGGTTGTATTTGAAGTCCTTTTTATTGTATTGGATTTGTTCCTCATTTGTGAAACATGTTCTCACACTTGTAGGAAAGAAACGTCGTTTGACATTTATTGAGTGCAATAATGACATGAACAGTATGATCGATCTGGCAAAGATTGCTGATCTGGTAAGTCTAAACTTTCAGCTTAGTTTATTTCACATCATCAAAGTATTTAAAAAAACAAATAAAATTCGCACAAGAAAGGACAAACAAATGCAGTAAAACCTCCATTTTACGTACCCCTTGGTACCAAGGGGTGTTCGTAAATGGAAAAATACGTAAACTAGATCGGGTGTCAGTTTCCAATACCTAGGCCTAGCTATCCCCTGCCATTGAGCGCAGATAGGCTGATTGCGACCACGAACCGACAGTGCAGCTGGGTGGTCTACTAGCTGAATTTACTTTCAATAAAAACCAAATTATTTTAATCGCTGGCATTATTCCACTTAACAAAATATTAATATATAATAAAATAAACAATAGACTGAATCGGTGGCTCGGGTCATGTGACTTATAGTGGGTATTAGGGTTTGTTTACATCTATTGAGATCGCAAGACGACAGTGCATTGAATTTGGCTTCGCCTTGTTGTTAATGCAAGTCACATCATAGATGTTGCAAATGTTGGTTGGAATGTGAGTTATAATTTGGTAAATCACTTAGAAGTGTTCCAAAATTAAATTTTCAAACACTTATCAGTTTGGTTTGGTAAAGGCTCCAATGGATAGTGGGAATATAGCCTGGAATATTTCAAGGAAAGGTATGGTACCTTCACAATGTGCATTGCTCCAGTGAGTTGTCGCTGGCTGATATACTTTTTAGGCCTAGGCCTAAGTCAAGAATATTATTCATGGCCGATGCTATCGCAGCATTATAAAAAAAAAACGAATCTTGCCATTCATTGCAAGAGTATTATTTTACAGTTATTCTAAATCCAAAATTAAATTATAGGATGTTTGTAGTTACTGCCGAGGATAATGATCATCATATGACATAACAAATATTATTACGTACTGGCATTGGAATGTTCCATACCAAATAGGCCTATTATCACCAGTCTGTGGTTTACAATGTTGATGCTTACATTTAGTACCTACTATATGTCACGTGAATAGTAGTAGCTGGAGTCGCCAATTCGGTCTATTACTCTTCCCTTTTGTTGCTTGTGTCTCTTAATTGTTGAGATACATTAACTACTGTTTGTGCTCAAAACAAATAAATGATTTGTTATATTGTTCTTATTACTTTACTATTGAATAATATTATAGCTATTTTTAAAAAAATTAATAAAAAATAATTTTGAAATTAACTTGCTCATTTTGCAGTAACATACAAATTATTAACTTGAGCATAAAAATTATTATTGAATATAAAAATTGTCTACCCTGATTTTTAAACTGCATAATTATAATACAAATAATAAACACTTTGTCACTAAACACTTCCAGTGACTGGAAGTTTTTTTATAATTTTTTACTGTAAAATGATGGTTAAACAATTTTTAAATACACTAATTTCTATGTTCAATTTAATAATTTTTATGTTGCTTCAAAATTGGCAAGGTAATTTTTTTTTTAATTTTTATGATTTTTTTTTTGTATTTTGCATGTGATAATACATCTTTAAGATACTGCTGTCCAGCATTTCAATTTTTACATACAATATATTTTATACTGTTATTGTTATTGTAAATGTTGGTCAAGTAAATGAAATGAAAAAATACTGTATTATCTGAACTTTTATAGGTACTGTTATTGGTTGATGCCAGTTTTGGATTTGAGATGGAGGTGTTTGAGTTTCTAAACATTGTTCAGATTCATGGTTTCCCCAAAATTATGGGAGTTTTGACTCATCTGGACCAACTGAAAAACAATAAAACTCTGAAGAAAACAAAGAAAAGGTTAAAGAACAGATTTTGGACAGAAATCTACCAAGTATGTACAGGTCTGCCACTTTTCATCATCTTCATTAGAGTACAAAATAACGCTAGGGTGTAGAGGGGAGATGCAAGTGAAACAAATTGGGATTTCAATATTCATCGTGTTATTATGTACTCTTGGGAGAGGGAGGGCTGCAGAAAGTATATGTTCCAATGATGCTGTACTGTTAAGTTTTTTAATTGTGCGGATGTTACCTCAAAAACCAGCTCAAATTTGCTTGGAAAAATAGCTATTAAAATAGGTGCACAGAATCTTAATTACTGCATAATAAATTGTTTATATATTAAGATTAGGTCAAAGCCTAAATTTTAGCAAAATCTGCACGGAAATCGGCCCTTATTTTTCCAAATGTGTGGACATATTTCTAGGCCAAATTTTTGCAAGGAAGATATATTCTGGCAGCAATGGATTTGAACCGGGAGAACCAAAATTTGTAGGAATTTCCACGTTTCAGAACACATACAGTAGCTACCACCAGTTCAGCCGGACTGAGATAAGCTTACCTCTCTAGGCCTATTGATAATGATTAATTAAAGATAGGATATTGGGAATTCTCTGAACTTGCAGCTTTTGTCAGCCATTCAACATATAATGTTTAAACATTATTATATATTCTAATTATGCTATTATTTACTGTTGGTTTTATTTTTTTTAACAATAACTTTCTATTGCTTAATAGATTCTCCTACCATTTAATTTTTTTTAAATAAATGGATAAATTGCAATATGTATTATATTATACTGTGTTGTGTGCTTTGTTGGCAGGGTGCCAAGTTATTCTATTTGTCAGGAATGGTTTACAGTGACTATCAGCAGCGCGAGATTCATAATCTTGGTAGATTCATCTCGGTTATGAAGTTCCGACCTCTGGTCTGGAGGTCAACCCATCCATATATCCTAGCAGACAGGTAGGCATTTAAATTTCTTCAGCCCCTCTGAAAAGGCAGTCTTCTATTGGAAAGCTTTCTATTTGCAGTTTCAGGATCCTAAGCACTTTTAAGGACGTCCTCCATTAGGCGAATTTATTCGCGCGAATCGAAAATGTTTACCTATACGCATGCGTAATTGAGAATCTTTTGATGAAAATTAAACTGCGCATGCATATAGGCGAACATTTTCAATTCGTGCAAATAAATTCGCCTACTGGAAAACCATCTTTAGTAACTAAAAAATTAGCCAAAGAAGAATAACTGGTGACTATCAGCTTCACTGGGCTGAACTGCTCACTAGCATGGATGAATTCATCCATTCGTTCATAGAGCATAATATAGTTATGAAATATTAGTTGGTAAGGTAACTCACCTGTCCCAGTTGAATAATTTGGGAATATGGGCCAGGCCGCTGAAGTCACCCTCTATATATGTTGAGAGTCAGCTACTGTCTATTGATTCACCAATTACATCTAGTTTGTTTGAGTTGTCTGTCTCTCTCAGGATGGAAGACCTCACGGACCCCGAGGAAGTACGACAAGATCCAAAATGCGATCGGACTGTTAGTTTCTATGGTTATGTGAGAGGGACACCGTTGAAGAGTGGAAGCAACATCCATATAGCAGGTATGGATATATATAGAAGATGAGGATTATTAAGTGTGTGAAGATGTATTAGTGAATTATATCTAAAATATTAATGGTAATAGAAATTTGTATTAGATTAGAAATTTCTGTAGTCAAAATCGGATCAGATTAGAAATTTCAAAACCTGAATTTTTAATCTAACAGGAAATATAGGTTTTTGAATTATTTCAAATATTGACCTTTGACAGGTTGTGGTGATTTCCACCTGAAGGACGTCAGTTACTTGGCTGACCCTTGCCCTTTACCCGACAAGGAGAAGAAGCGATCACTTAATCAAAAGGAGCGTCTGATCTACGCTCCTCAGTCGGGAGTTGGTGGAATTGTCTATGACAAGGATGTTGTTTACATAGACCTTGGCAACAAGGCCCCACACAGCCAAGTACAGCAGGTAAAAAAAGAAACTGTAAAAGTACATAAAGTTTAATAAAAAAAAATTACTCTCCAATCAGTGATGATACAATGAACTCTGAGAATATAAATGCATTCTATGAAGTTTTATTTCCCTATTAGCCTGAGATTGGAAATAAAAATAACCAAAAGTTGAGGTATTGTATGCCTTCCACCTAATATTTTAGGGTTCTTACTGTTATTTTTATATTTCTTAGGATGAAGAGCGTCCATCGAATGAGATGGTTTCAAACCTTATTGGTACGCAGCAAACTATTGATGCTAAAATGGCCCTTAGCAAATTGGCATACTTCCCACAGTCTACTCCTATTGCATCAGAAGCAGTTCCAAAAGATCAGCCAGTCAGAATGCCAGAAGAGGAATTGGTGTATACAGGTGGCAGAGTGAGGAGAAGGGCAGTATTTGGCGATGTTGGAGAAGCCGGTGAAGACTCTGGTAATGAAACAGAAGATGATGAGGTTTGTGATTTTTAACTTTTTTTATACTATCACATATACTTCTTTAGTGTTCACCAAACACCAAAACATAACCAAATGAAAAAGAAATGGAGAAGTTGACAAATTATATATGAATTATTTAGAATCCAAGTTTTTTACAAACACAAATGTAAAAGAATGCAACATTTTTGGTTGATGACTTTTTACCTTTAATTTTAGGAAGAAAGTGGTTCAGATTTGGAAAATGATTCAGCAGACGATTTAGAAAGAGAGGAAGATAAATCCAACCAATTAGATGCATTAACTCCATCAACAAAAAAATCTAAAAGGCCAAAAGTGGTAAGTTCTCTGAAGAACTATTATGTATAGCCACCCTTATGTATGTATTTTGTATATTATATAGTATATATTTTTAAAATTTATAGTTAAAAAATGTATAGATTTTAATCTATTTTTGCAATTTGAATTTTAATCACTTATACAGCAATCATTGACATTATTCAGACATAACATACACGACAGTGTTCTCCCCAGGATGAGGGTCAAGCATCATGGTCCGTTCCCCTACCCCCCCCCCCCCCCCCCCTATGGTTGTTGAGAATTTTTTAAAATAATGACCTAGATTCCCGGAAATAGCACTCTCAGACATCAAAAATGCTTTTTAAGATTTTTGAAATGATTATAGATTTCCATTTTTTAACAAATTTCCATTTTTTAACAAATTTTTTTGTGAAATTAGTGACCATACTGTACTACTATTATAGCCTAGCCAGAATTGCAACAGGATGGCAATTTTGGGCCAAACCTAGTTTAGGCCTAGGCCTAAATTTTAGCTTCAAACTGCTTGGCAAGTCAAAACTTGGGACTAAAACAGGCCACTACTAGTATCATAGAAGAACGTATATTTTACGTACATGTCAAAACAAGGAAATTGGTCTTCGTAAAAACAGATTTGTTTGTACAATATTCATTTTAATAGGCATAGGCCTACGTACTATTGTGTGTGAATCGTCACATCTTTCTTGTCTACCTATTCATTTGGTAGGCTAACCACTTAGTAGCTAGGACTAGCACTGGGCAGGCCAGGCCTATTCCTAGCTATAGCTAAAAAAAACATCGGCCACGTAGTCTGCCTAGATTGACTAACATTTATCTGAACCTGTCTTTATTGTAAAGTAGTATTATCATATTAAAAACTTTGTTTATTATCAAAACAACAACCAAATTCAACATAGAGCTTATTGCCTAATTGTTTAAACACAAACACGATCGCGCTGTGGCTTCGCTGTCAAGAAGTACATGTGGTACCGTGACGCTTCAACGGCCTGTGGAGAACACTGCACGACTTTTCCTTAATATTTGTATAGGTGAACAAAAACAAGATTTAAAATTAGGGCATTTGTGTGTGGTCATTCATGATCCCTCAGACACTATGCCTGCTTACAAGATGACTAACCAGTCAATGATGACACAATGAACATTGAGATTGATTTTTCAATTTATGAATGTTTTTCCCTATTAGCCTGAGACTGGTTTTTAAAAATGTTTCTATAAAAGTTAGAGGCAAAGATAGGAAATTAACCTGTGACCTTTAATATCAGTGAGTATCATAGCTGCTGAATAGAGGCACTCAGTAGTCGCATCCTTCTACAACAGGGGCTGATTTGGAGCATCCCGTAAACCTCTGTGCATATTATCAAAGTTTATTTGACAAAAACCTGTTGTATGCCCATATATAGTAATGATGTGCATATAATATTATATGGTCCTGGTATGATGTCATCGCGACCATATTTAAGCATGTAGATTCATTGATGGTGCACGTGAGCCACTGTTTTTGTGTCTTTATTTGTGAAAACTTGGTTCTACCAACCAATCCATGAGCAGGCAGTGTGTCGAAACAGCAATGATGTTGTTGAGGCTAGATGTTGCGCTGCCCTGGCTTTACCACTCTGTCACTCATCTCTCCCAAGCATAACAGTAATTTAATACAAGTTAACAGTTATTTTAAAGCTTTTGAAGCATTTTGCATATTCTTGGATTGTTCTCAAATGATAAAATATTAAAAAAGCATTAAATTTCCATTATGTTTTTGTTTCATAGGATATGGAAGAATTGATATTTGCAGATAGTGCTGAGGAGGACTTAGACGGTAACAATGCAGTTAATCTACGGCAATCTCAAAGGAACCAGAAGAAGAGAGAAGATGATGAGAACCCTGGTTTACCTGAGGACTCAGATGAAGATGGCTCCGAAGAGAGTGATATGGAGCAGCAGTTGGAAAAAGAAAAAAATAAACGAAAAAGAAAATTAGATAAAGAGATAAGTGAAAGGACAGTTAGTGGAGGAAAGGTTAAGAAGACTACACGAAAAAGTGAATTAAAGAAATCAATTAAAGAAAAGTCCTTGGAAAGGAAACTTCCCAAAAAATATAAAATGCAAGAGGTGCATGTTTCCAGAAAAGATGTCGATGAAGATAGCGCACATAAAGATACTGAAGAAAAGGATGAAGATAGCGATGATAAAGATATTGAAGAGGAGATAATGGGGGACGAAGAAGAGGAGGATGAAAGCTGTATTTCAGATTCTGATGGTGCAGAGTTTGGCAACAGTAGGTCCTGTTTGTTTTATTGAATACTATTTTTTTGTGGTATATCGTCAATTGTTGGATATTAATGGTTCTCTGTCTGTTTTGTAGATCACCTGCGTTGGAAAGATGGCATGGTCCAGCGAGCAGCTGATGCTTTCGTGCAGCGACAGAAGGACACCCCCAACCTGAGGAAGCTTGTGTATGGTCTTGGTAAGATTTCTTAATTTAATCCTTAGCACCACTGGTATTCAGGTACCGTGTTTACACCGGACTAACACTTGGTGTCATATTTTATAGCTTATCTTATACCTAGTGGTTGGTATCTTACCGTATTGTCTTGCGTATGCACAATCCATCACTTACTCCACCCTCTAGTGTACAAAGTGTTGTTTTCAGTCAATGAGGACAAATATCAGTAAACCTGAGATTGTGTGTTGACACCAATCAATGGAGCTCATCTCGTTAACCTGAGACTGATTAATTCCACTACTAATTCATTCATTCATTCATTTATTCGATCAATAATCAACAGACTGTACATACATAAAATTCAAATAGGAACAAGGAAAAAATTGATTTGAAATGGTTAAAAAATGGTAGTACTGTAATAGTAATTATTAAGATAATTACAATTAACTTTACAAAATGTTACTGAGAAAACTTTACGAAAGCTAAAATCTTGATAAAATTGTTTTGAAGGACTTTTAAACCGTTAAAATTTAAGAATTGAATTAACCAGATAAAATTCATCACAAGAAATTTACAAAAAATAAGACATGAAGAGTGTTGTTTATGATCAGGATAGCCAAAAAAGAATCAGTTACATAGATTTATTTCCATTGGGTCCTAAACAAATTAATGTACATTATGTCCAGTTTTCCTAGAAATAATAAAAGGTCATACAGTGCATTCCTTTTGAATAAATACCACAATTTTATTCTGCCCTTGAAATTGAACTGAGTTTATGACTGCCCTGGGAATTTCAGTGTCACACAGCTCTGGGGTTGTGACTTAGGAACACAATGTCACACAGCTCTGGAGGTTGTAATTTAGGCCTAAAAAAATATTATGTTGGCGTTACAGGCCACAAAAAATAGGGTGGGGTAGGTAGGGATTTTTTAACTGACACAATATTCAGCAAAGACCTTGAAATCTATAAAATCAATTAAATAAGCATTTAAAACCCCCAATTGTCATATTTTTTGCCCTTGGACCACTTTTGAAACATTTTGAGTGACGCCCGACCACGCTCACTTTGCTCACGTAAACTTGTATCGTATTAAATAAAAATGTATAGGGTCGGCCAATTTTGTAGGGTTGGTTGGGTTACGCCAACATAACATTTTTTTTTAGGCCTTATGAACAACATCTTTATAAGTTGTACTGTGGCAAAAACAATCAGTCTTATTGGTTCCTGCTGGTATACAGTATGTTAATCATTAACACCACAAATATACTTCCAGATGAGAATGAACTTGAATCGGATGAGGAGGAGGAACTTGGTGGATTGTTTAAGATTTCAGGGAAGTCAAATGAGAAGAAACAAAAACAAGGAAATAATGATAAGGATAGTTCAGCTTTCCCACTGGAAGTTTTAAGGGACTGGACAACAGATGAAGTAAGAATAGATTAAATAACTTAAATTGCATACTAGATACATAAATTACATACTTTTTAGAAAATACTGTTTTTCTAAAATGTATTGATGGATGGTTTTATTTAGTGTAAACACCAAGGATAACCCACCAAAGTCTGAAAAAGACTTATTTCCAGTGGGTCCTTCTGGTGGTGATTAAGCAGTACACTGGGAGAAAATCCTCCACTCTTTTCCAAAGAGTGTACTGCGTTCTTTAATGTGCACATGCGCTATAATGCACACAGGACCAATGGCTTAATTTTAATGGGGTGGGATTTACGTAGCTCTTTATACCGAAGTCTCAAAGCGCTAGAGGTGTGGACTAGCTCGAACAGTAACTTTCTACTCCCCGAAGGGTCTCTTTGTGTCTGACCAATCCGGTAAACCGGTACCAGCTATTCCCGGCTGTCCACAACAGGGGATGTATGAACCAGTACACCTGGGTAACCCCCTACTCGTCTCGAAAGATATACTGGGTTCTTTATAGTGCACACGAGCCATTGTGTACACTTGGTTTATAGTCACTATCCGAGAAGACTTGTTCTACCACCAGAGCACCATGTTATGGCTGTTTGCTGAAAGCACCCTGCCTTAACCGCTCGGCCACCCAACTCTCATCCAAAAGACGATACGCTACCGTAACTTGCATTGTAGCCCTCTACCGATGAGAATTGAACCGGGGCCAAGATATATCCATGGCGCTAACACCATGGCAACCACCAGTTTAGCTGACTGAGTTAGGCTGCTCTTTTATATTGTTCCTTAGTTCAGAATAATTGAATATATTAAATATGATAATATTTTTCAATTGCATTTTTAGTAACTTATTTATGTTTTTATACATTATTATATTTCATTATCTTTGAAAATCTTCACTTCATTTTTTTAGATGAAAGAACTGATTGTAGATTGCTTTGTGACTGGAAAGTGGTCTAATGATGAAGATGCCAAGACTTTGCTTGATCAAGATGGTAAGTTAGAAAAATGCATACGGAAATGCTGATTCATATTGCACTAAAGTTTTCGCCCCCTTCAAGTTATACTGTTCTGCAGGGTAAATAGATTATTTTTCCTTCTAAAAAACTGCTTTCATAGCAAATTTCACGGGTCTGATTTTCAGCATTATAATATTAAATTTAAGTTTGTAAGGAGTGTTTGCTGAAAGCGCTCTTCTGTTATTTTCCAAGATTGATAATATTTGTCCCGATTGGTTTCTCCATTTTTAGTTCCTATGCATGTAATGCAATAGGAACTATTGTAATCACTCTGTCACATTTCTTTTGTTTTAAATCTATGGCAGCCATCTTGGATGGTACCCACACAGTTCTGCGTATTTCTAACATCGAATACATTGCGGTTAGCGCTCTAGTATTCTTATTATTATCTCTATGGAGTAGTCGTATGAAGGTACCATATCCCCTGTCTCTTATACACATCTAGATGTGTATAAGAGACAGGCAGTACACTGGGAGAAAATCCTCCACTCTTTTCCAAAGAGTGTACTGCGTTCTTTAATGTGCACATGCACTATATTGCACACAGGACCAATGGCTTAATTTTAATGGGGTTGGATTTACGTAACTCTTTATACCGAAGTCTCCAAGCGCTTGAGGCGTGGACTAGCTCGAACAGTAACTTTCTTCTCCCCTGAGGGTCTCTTTGTGTCTGACCTTCCCGGTAAACCGGTACCAGCTATTCCCGGCTGTCCACAACAGGGGATGTATGAACCAGTACACCTGGGTAACCCCCTACTTGTCTCGAAAGATATACTGGGTTCTTTATAGTGCACATGAGCCATTGTGTACACTTGGTTTATAATCACTATCCGAGAAGACTTGTTCTACCACCAGAACACCATGTTATGGCTGTTTGCTGAAAGCACCCTGCCTTAACCGCTCGGCCACCCAACTCTCATCCAAAAGACGATGCGCTACCTTAACTTTAATTGTAGCCCTCTACCGATGAGAATTGAACCGGGGACCAAGATATATCCATGGCGCTAACACCATGGCAACCACCCGTTTAGCTGACTGAGTTAGGCTGCTCTTTTATATTGTTCCTTAGTTCAGAATAATTGAATAATTTTCAATTGCATTTTTAGTAACTTGTTTCTGTTTTTATACATTATTATATTTCATTATCTTTGAAAATCTACACTTCATTTTTTTAGATGAAAGAACTGATTGTAGATTGCTTTGTGACTGGAAAGTGGTCTAATGATGAAGATGCCAAGACTTTGCTTGATCAAGATGGTAAGTTAGAAAAACGCATACGGAAATGCTGATTCATATTGCACTAAAATTTTCGCCCCCTTCAAGTTATACTGTACTGCAGGGTAAATAGATTATTTTTCCTTCTAAAAAACTGCTTTCATAGCAAATTTCACGTGTCTGATTTTCAGCATTATAATATTAAATTTAAGTTTGTAAGGAGTGTTTGCTTAAAGCGCTCTTCTGTTATTTTCAAGATTGATAATATTTGTCCCGATTGGTTTCTCTATTTTTTCATTTGAGCTGGGCCCAACTTGTTCCTTACCTGAGACCAACGTCGTCGTCTCGCAGTGCGCGGTAGCAGAACTAAAGGCTCATTCTGAGGTGGAAGCTACCAGGAGCCCACTCATTTTTTGCCTATATTATATCTAATTCATATCTGTAATTCAAAATTAACATTATCTTTGCTTTCATTTAGATGATCTTTATGGGGACTTTGAGGATTTAGAGACAGGCTTTATGCACAAGGGAAAAACAACTGACACCAAAGATGATGAAGATGATGATCGTGGTAGTGAAAGTGATGGTGATTCAGATGAGGAAGAAAAAGATGATAATCAAGAAATTCAAAAGAAAGATATGACAAAGAAGGAAAAGTTTCTAGAGAAGAAAAGGAAACTAAAGGAAGTGTTTGATGCTGCGTATGATAATGCTGATGGCGGGTCAACGTACTATGATGACCTCAAACAGCAGATGAACCAGCAAGCTGAGGTATGACCTCTACCCTCAGATTTGTTAGGCTCGCATACAAATTTCATCCCTCAATAATTCATGCATTATGAAAATAACTCATTATTTTATTTATTTAGGCACACAATACATTTGCCAAGGATTGTCAATAGCGAATGTATCACTTTCCTACTTGTAGGTGACAATCCCTTACACAAGACAAGCATACACACACGATGCTTTACACAAACTAAATCTCAATATGAGATTTAGGGAGTGGAGTTCGTGAGAAAAAATCCTGCAACAATGAATTGAACCCAAGACCCTGGGATTGGAAGGCAAGCATCTTAACCACCAAGCTATTCAACTCCACTCCCAAGCTATTCAACTCCATTATGCTCTGAATCATGCAGCATTTCATCTCATTTGGATGATTATATACATAATGGATTTTGCATTTATTATTTTTCGTAGCTTAATCGTAAAGAATTTGAGGATATGGATGATGATGTGAGAACTCAGTACGAAGGCTTCCGTCCCGGGATGTACGTAAGATTGGAGGTAAGTTAGTACAAGATGAGGGTATCATCAAGAATTACCAAATTATGACCAAACATTATGTAACATAGGTATCTGAATAACAACAATGAAATTCAAGATTTTTATTTACAACTTTCTTTTTCTTCAGGTTGCTAATATGCCTTTTGAGTTTGTAAAGAACTTTGATCCTGAATACCCAATGGTAATTGGAGGGCTACTGAGCAGCGAGGAGAATATTGGCTATGTTCAGGTATGAATGAGTTTTGAACTTTGACATTGTATTACCAGCCTCTAAAGCTGGGGCACTTACTGTGCTTGAGTGATGCAACACCGTCTGCTGATTGTCAGTGGCAGTGTGAATGGATTGAAAACAATTAGTTGTGCATGTGTCGTGGTGTTGCCTTCTCCATAGATCACATCAGCCGACGACTGTCGGGGAAAGTAAGTGCCCAGCTAAGGGCTACCCTCATCAAATACATTGATGATTGATAAACACCCAAGTCTGTCGATGATGTTTTAATAAAAGTTGATAGGACTGAAGATGTCAGTAATTGATGTGTGGACATCCTTACTCAGCTGAGATAGACATGTAAATATTTCGGGAGGAAGAATATATTTAGAGTTAAGCCGGGCACTTACTGCGCAGTACAACCGTCGCTCGACAAATCCAATTCCACTCTCTTTGAATGCTAGACTGAGACTCCGTCTGAAGATTGTCGATGGTCTTCTGAAGAGATCATAATTAAAAATGATCGTTGCGCACGCGTCATCAAGTTGCGTTCTTCATAGAATCGTGTCGGCCGCCGACCGTTGGGCATAGAGAGTGCCTGGCTTTAGAGTGCAGTCATTGCTTAGTGTATACCTCCACCCTGTGCCAGAATACTGAATGATAAATGCAGGGTGTTTATGATCGATTCCAATGTTTTTTTTTTATGCAACTTTTTTAGATCAATGTACCAACAGTGATGATTAACTCCTTGGTGGAGATAAAAATGTGCACAACCGTAGTGATTAAATTAGCACGACTATATCCATGGAACAGAAGAGGCTACTTGTACACTGTGTATCCACAATGACCACGGAAAAGAGCATTTTGTTACAAAAGGAAAGCTTTATAAATGACCATAAAATGTATGATTCAAATAATGTTTTATTTATTTAGTGAATGAATGCCTAATATTTGTTATTTATCTTTGGTAAGGACTGTTTGTTTATTCTCAACTTCTTAACAGATGCGAATAAAAAAACATCGTTGGTACTCCAAGATACTGAAGACTCGTGATCCGTTGATCTTCTCACTGGGATGGCGTCGTTTCCAGACAATCCCGCTCTTCTCAATTGAAGACCATAATGGCCGCCGTCGTCTGCTGAAGTACACTCCGGAGCACATGCACTGCATGGCAACCATTTGGGGTATGTTGGCCAGTATTTGATGCCCAATATCTGTGATGTCATTAGCACTATAAAAGTAGCAGATTAAAACTTTTAGAATATTCTCCAGTTATAACAGTACATACGGAACCACCTCATTTATGGAGCAGCAACACAGTTATATACATATATAAGAATAAGTGTATTTTGGCAGTGCTGCTGCTTTATTTTCATAATTAAAGGACGAGACAAGTGTAGCTGCCGAGCTATAAGGCAGAGGTGATGCTAACTACAGCCTAGCCCAGCATATGGTTGGTTGGTAGAAGTAAGTCTTCTCAGGCAAGGAATTAAAATGGAGGTCCAGTGTACACATCTGGCTTGTGTGCACTTTAAGGAACTCATTGCATCTTCTGGAAGATTAGGGGATCACGCTGATGTATGTTCATTTCAGCCCCTGTCATTGTGGAGTGGTGTGAATATGTAGCTAATATAAGAATCCTCTTCACAGCAACTTAGGTAGTCATAGATTACTCCTACACGCAATTTGGCACAATGACGCTGCAAGTTATGAGTTATTCTTCTACCTTTACTGTTTAAACTTCAATTGTTCCTATAATGTTATATTTTTGCATATAACATCATAAAGCATGTTTGTCACTAATGTATGAATCCTTCTTCAGGGCCAATTACACCCCAAGGAACTGGTTTCCTGGCCGTACAAACTGTTGCTGGTAGAATGGTAAGTTGCATAAGCTGCCGACATTTGTCAAAGTTTGTAGTATTTTTCTTCTAAGAAGACCTGGTTTTGAAATGTATGATAAGTATTTAATAGCAGTCAGTGATGTGCAATAAAAAAAGTTGATAGGACTGAAGATGTCAAATTTACTCCATGTGGACATCCTTACTCAACTGAGACTGCTCGATCAAACATTCTAACAGCCCCCAACATCATCCCTTTCAACTATTAACACATTGACATTATAATCTAGGATATAGCATTACTAAACCATTGACATAATGTGTCACAGCCATTCACAGGTTAGATAAGTCAGTATTTTACATTTCAGCAGGTATAACATTATGACATGTACCTGCCAATTCATTCTTACTTCTTAACTCTTCAAAATTCTCAATGTATCTTCACCGCAGAATTTTCGTTTTTGTCCCTAAGGCTGGGTTCCGGATTGCAGCAACGGGTGCTGTGACTGACCTTGACAAATCTTTACACATTGTGAAGAAGTTGAAGCTGATTGGTACTCCAATTAAGATTCACAAAAACACAGCCTTCATCAAGGTAAGAAATTACCCACCAAAGGATTTTGGAAGTGTGATCTCCATTGAATATCTCCTTAGAGAATTTTCATTCTCTTGTGCCAGATTGTCACAACATTTTTTTAATTCTTTTCGTTTTTTAAGCGCATAGAAGCTTATAGTATTTTGCGCCATACAAGTGTCATTTACTGTCATTATTATTACACCATGGATTTTTGTTGTAGTTTGCAAATGATTGCAAACAATCAATGAGTCCAGTCAATGAGGACAAAATTGAAACCCCTAGAATGGTAAAGACATTCAGTGAGGGTCATCTCGTTAACCTGAGACTGGAAAGGAAAGAGTGGTGTAAAGTTTCCCCACTTGACACAACACAAATTATAGGTCATAGGGCAGGTGTTGCCTAACTTGACCAGACATTTACAGGTCATGTTGCGAAGCCACACTCACATCGGAGTATGGAGTAACATTCCACATGATATGCAAAGATGTACAAATGTCATAAACTAAAGAAACATGATGCGCCACCAATAACCGAATAAAGCAAAAAAAAAAAAAAAAAACAGCAAAAACAAATTTTCGTCTATATTGTTTACTTGTCACTGCTAAGCAGATATCACCTAAGTCGGATGAGTTCTTAAATGATGAATTATTAACTATTTTACACTTACTGTTCATATTTAGGGGATGTTTAACACAGTCTTGGAAGTTGCAAGGTTTGAGGGCGCTACAATTAAGACTGTTAGCGGTATTAGAGGTCAGATCAAAAAAGCCATCAAGACACCAGAGGGCGCCTTTCGTGCATCATTTGAAGATAAGATCCTGAAGAGTGGTAGGCTGTTTTTAGATTTTAAGTTCACATCCTAAGAGATATTGCCCTCAGAGCAAAGACACGATTTCACGTCCAAACACAGCACTGTTGAATGCGAACTTGTTGGTGTAATCTCTTGCCGTGGCAGTTCACAGAAGACCCTAAAACATGATCTAAAAATATACCATTTCGGCTGTTGAGAATGGTACTCATTACAGTGCCAACCTTTATGTTAGTTTTACCACATAGGTGGGCAAAATTGAGGTCTGCAAGCCACATGCGACCAGACATCAATTTTGTTGCAGTCAGCGACAGTCCTATATGTACGGCCCACATACCTTCTTTGGCTAGAAAACCCTTGATTCTATGGCCCGAAAATGGTAGTCTAAAAAATAATACATTAATATTAAAACTGAGATTAAAGGCAGTGCATGAAGGTTTTTTTGAAATGTCATTTTTGGTATTTTAATCCACTTATTATAAATGATTTGCTGCCAAGGTACCCATCCCCCAGCCTACACTCATAGTATTGAACATTACTTTTATTAACCATATTTAACTATAGGTATTTATCCAGCGAAGCTATACAATCGGTAACATTTATTTACAGTATTAATCTTTTACCTACAGACATTGTTTTTCTTCGTGGTTGGATTCCAGTTTTTATGCCAAAGTTTTACAACCCGATGCAGACACTGCTATTACCGAAGGGCGAGAAGGACAACTGGACGGGAATGAGGACTGTTGGCCAGTTAAGAATGGACAACAGCATACCAGTACCGGTTAATAAAGACTCGCTATACAAAGTAAGATTTGTTAAATTTTTTATTAACTTTAAAATTATCTTTTAGAAAGCTGACAACATGATGAAATTTTTTTTTTATTATATTGCCAAATTGTTTTTTTTTTTTTTTTTTAATTACATATAGATAGATTAATTACTACTGTACAGAACAGTTTA